GTACAAAAAAAAAACACATGCACACACAATTTTTACTTCCAAATAGATTCTTCTCAATTGACATGCCATATACAGAATCAAAATATATTTGCAAATCATCTATATTTAATTAGAAAATGTAATTTATCAACAAACAAGTGAAAATGTTAAGCTTTTAATTGATTAATTTAAACAAACATTGAAAAAGTATTTTTTGGTTGGTCATAAAGATAAGACCATGTGTGAAAAAAAAAGTACTGGACAAAGATTTTAGAAGTAGTTAGTGTTCTCATAGCTTCAGGTGTGTAGACATCTACTTAGCTCATTTCCAGCATTAAATTTCAGATTTTAAAATGACTAAGGGTCAAATTTTAACAAAGTTCAAACAGGGCAGGGTTGTTGTGAACTTTCGCAATGAGCCATTGCAAATGAAATTGTCCATAGCAGAACTGTCATTGCGAACTTCATTAAAAATCCAGATGCAAATGCTTCTAAAAAATCAAGTAGTTGCTCTAGTAAAATCTCATTATCTCTAGACAGATACATTAGACAAGAAGTTAAGAGAGATTCGAGCCTAACATCAAATCAAATGAAAGCAAATACAGTTATTGAATGCAGCTCTCGAATAATTCGATGGCATTTAAATAAGAAAGGGTTTAAGAACTTGAAATGGCTGCAAAAGCACTGCTTTCTTCATTGCCATAAAACCTCCTGTTTACAATTTGCTTCCAATTATCAAACTTATTATGTGGATAAATGAAAGAAAGTGTTGTTTTCAGACAAGAAAAAATTCAACCTTGATGACCCAGATGGTTTTCACCATTACTGGCATGCAAAAGATGTCCCTCCCAAAATTTTCTCAACATAATACAGTGGGGTTCATTTTCATACAATGGAACTCTTGAGTTACAGGAAGTAAAAGGTCATCAAACAGCTGCTAGTTACATTGACATGTTAAGAAAGGCAATGCTAATTACTGAAGGCTCTCATCTATGTGGAGAAAACTGGAGAAAAGCAGGACAATGCTGCAATCCACAATGTTTGAAGGTCGAAGGATTTTTTTAATGGAAAACAACATTCAGCTTTTGAGCCATCCTCTTGGAGTCGATTGTTGTGGAAGAAGCTGCTCAAGTGGAACTTACATCACAGGAATGGAATATGAAGGGAATGAGGGCAGTTCGCTACAATGTGTGTGGCATGGTGGGTCTTAGCTGTGAATGTTAGAACATCAAGAATTGGATGTCTGTAGAAGTAAATGTCAATTCACTTGATATAAAACTGAACATTTTTGTGGAGCTTACTTAAAAGTGCGATTAATCTTTGCTAAGCAGGTATAGATTTTGATACTTTTATTTTTTTCAGGTGAGAGGACAGAAAATAAATTGCCAACTATTTATTTTCAAATATCAGCTTAGTAGGATCAAAACTAATTGCATGATAAAAAACTAATCTAATTAATCATAGCAAACATGTTTAGGAATTATTCTTATATTTATTTCCTCACAAGTTTGTCCTTTAATTTTGATAAATTAATCTTATCTGTAATATTTAGATACAATTTTAGAAAAAGAATAATTATTATGACAACTATTAATCTTTACATATCAACCCAGATAAACTGACCTTTACTGACTTATATGTGTCAGTATGAAAGGTTTATAAAAAGTAAATAAACATTAAGTAGATATGATCCCTTGTACTTGTTTCACTGCTTTTTTTGGGGGGGGGGCTTATACTCTCAGATTAGGGAACCATTTTTTTTCACAGTAAGGGTTCACCCTGTACAAGGCTGGGGTGGGGATTCTTGAGGTGGGGGTCATGTTAAGGGGTAGTTTATATAGATAGGAGGGGAAGATACTGGTTAACTCTAGGCTTGTTATAAGGTACTTGCCTTGAACTATTACTTATTTAATTAATCACAAACCTTTAAATTTATTAGGATTATATATATCATATATTTCAATGTTTAAAATGACCTTTAAATCCAAAAAAATCACCCTTAAAAATTGGAACATCTTATAGTACAATTCTAAATTAAACTTGAGTGATGTTTCTCAGTAGGCTAACCTCAGCCTCAGTGTGATAACCAATAATATACATGAAAAGATTTACATTATCAAATAAACTGATAATAAAAGTAATAAAACCATTTCTACCTTATATAGTACTGGCATGACTTTATGATAAATTACCTATTGAAGAATAATTCCATATCAATGAAATCAACTTGTATCCATGTAAGCTCAGCTTAAAAAATGTAAACATCAAGTTATGATTGCATTCACAGAAACTATGATGTTTTGCTAAACTTTCAAGAATCATTATTGTAGTGTTAATTATTATGGCAGTAATAATATTTAGGATAACATAATATTCATTTCTCATTAAAAATTCATTATCATTTTGGTATTAATAATAACACAATTTAGGATTACATACAACATATTATTTTTCAAATAAAAATCCTTTTAGAGTAGTTACATTTTAAAATTTTAGGATATTATAAATCTATTTATTTCTTATCAAATTATCAATATTAATAAAACAACCCTGCTACATGTATAACCAAAACCCATCAAATTCCTCACAGTCATCAGTATCTGTTTCAAAAAGTTTCTCTAACACATCATGAGATTCATCAGTCACCTTATAATACAGGTATAGGATAAATTCATGAAAATTTGGTACATTTTTTTTTTATCTTGTCTTATCTTCTAAAGTTTGCCTTATACGCAGAAATATATGGTGTGTGTGTGTGTGTGTGTGTATATATATATATATATATATATATATATATATATATATTTGGGCAGCAACATTTATTTCAAACATGTTTTGCTGCATATATATATAAAATATTAGAGAAATGCTGTGCTATAATTAATATATATTACTGTTTCTCTTGAGAAGAGACACTTGTCATCTCTCTGAGCAAAGTGCCATATATAAACATATAACACAAATTCATGCCATCCTTTCTAATTTTCGTAATACAATACTACTCCAACAATAAAAAATGATTACAAGTCTTAGAAGACTTTTACATCATGGGAAAGCAACCAACTATCAAAGTCTGTTTCAATCTAGCCATGGACATGTTAAAATGCCTTTGATGACATATATTTGGTAAATTACAACAGTTATGACAGTGTACTTATTTAAAATGATTGTGACATTTGCTTTAAAGATTGAAAAACTGGAAATATTTTGAACAAAATATATGCTCATTTGTCCTGATTAAGAAAGACATCAGTTTTAACTTTCAGGTAAAGGATATTTATATAAAATAGACCAAACAGTAGAGAAACTATTAATTTCTCTGATAGCAATGTTCCCTGCCTGTTTGAAATTGTGTGTTCATGTGATTAGAAATCTCCCTTGTAGAACATAACAAGATAGAACTTCAGGGCTTTTGACTTTCACTTTTCTTCTCTATTTTTCAGCATAAGTATGTTTCAACCATAAATATTTTTTGTACATTGTAGGTTCTCCTATCCAAAGCCTTTACTTTAGCATACACTCAACAAAACTGCTTTCATGTGATTATGCGTGTTCTCAATATAATGAAATCTGATAGTGTAAGAAATCACAATGTAAAGCCACTGCTTTATTCTAAGCTAACAGATCATTTGATGCATTTCTCCTTAAAAGTATTTTTCATGATCATCATTAATTGTTTTAGTGGCTTTTTAATCCTCTGTTAACTTGAAAAGGAATAAGAAGTAAAAAAAAAAGAAGAAAAAACAACAAAAAAATTTGATAAAGAAAAAAATGCATTTTGTTGAAGTCAGTCAGTTTTATGGTGCAGCACAAAATCCATTTAGAGCATTCTTTACTGGAAAAATAAACATTTTCTTTTTACTTTCTTTTTCAAATATTATGGTGAAACATTTACTCAATACAGAACAAAGTCAGATTGAGGAAAATGAAAGCTGGAATATTATGTGAGAACAATTAAAGAGAATTTACCTGCCTAGAAAAATTATATTATTAATACTAGTTTTTTTTACCTGGGTTTGAACACCGACTACTGACACTAAAGTGAAATAACCATTTTGCCCATAAAGTAAGTCTTATACTTTTCATGTTAATAAAGAGAAGTGATTTTTTTTTTGCACCAGATATTCTTTTCACAGCCCTATATAATTCAAGAAAGAGCAATATCCAATGTGATATATTTATTGCAAAATGTTTCAGTAAACATACTAATAAAATTTAATAAAAAAAATTTGGGTTGTTTGGAGTATTTGCAAACTCATATATATATATATATATATATATACAGATACATAACTAGGTTTATGTTTCCTAATGTTGCCATGAGTCCTTAAAATGAAAGATTTGTGTCCAAAATATTCTAAAAAAACATGATTGATCTGTCAAAAGCCTTATGACCTTTTACCTACAAAATAATGTTTTACAATATAGGAAAATTGGATTTATGTTTTCAGTTACACATATGTGAGATTATATTTTAATTTACATATTTTCATAGAACTAGAATTTATATCTTTAAGGAAATTCATTTATTCTTTGTTGGCTTTGTGAAAATGTTCATAGCTTTGATATTAAGATAAGTTAATTCTTCTAATCTTTGAAATAATCTAATTTTGCTGATTTCTTTTTCTTGAATCTTCTTAAAACATGTTGCAAATATATAAATGGAATTTTCTGTTCTTAACAGAGAAACTTTGGATATTGGAAATTTTCTGATATACATATATGTAGGCTTTCCAGAATATTTTATTAGAACCAGATTAATTTCTAATTGAAGTATACGGAATTAGACGTTATCCTTCTCTAACTCTTTAATGAAGGGTGAAGAAATGACAATAATTTGATCTTAAGTATTTCATATATCACTATTCTTAGATACTTAAATGAGAAAGGGGATGTTGATTTAATTTTTTTAGCATATTTTCCAACCCCCTCCTGAGATATTTAAAATCACCTTGTTTATTACTTGTGCACTAATTTTTAACTCATTAAATGATTTTTCAACCTCTCTTCTTATTGAGGCTTATGGCCATATTATGATGAAACACCAGTTCTCATCTGATTACTGAAGTTAAGTAACATTGAGCTTGGTCAGCACCTAGATGGGTGACTGCTTGGGAATACCAGATGCTGTAAGCTTTGTTGTGCAATGAATAATGGTTAGAAAGGAGAAATCACAGAGCCAAGTTTGTATTCCAGTTTTGTTTGTTACATTGACTTACATGCAAATACCCTTGGGAAAGTTATGAATCCACCTCTTCTTCCCCAGCTATGAGTTAAATAGTAGCACTTGTATCTGAAAATCATTATTATCTCTAAAAGATTGTTAATAGAAAAAGTTCTTACAATCCAAAAATATGTTTTGGTTTTAAATAAAACCTACAAAAAGTTGATAAGCCATAAAAAAAAACAAATCAATTGATTAACCCTTTTATTAAGACACCTGTTTATTGAATATTGAGAAAACTTCTGAAAATGATTGAGATTCCCCCTTTGTATTATGTGTCCAAGAGTACATGACAGCCTCAAAGAATTTCTTTTAAAAGATTTGTTTATATTTTAAATGTCTACCATTCATTTGCCCATGCTTTGAATATTGCTACCACGTATGGTCTGGTGCTCCTGCAATATATTTAGAGATCCTTGATAAAATCCAAAGAAGAATCTGCAATGTTATTGGTCTTGACCTGGTATCTCGGATTTAGTCATTTTCCCATCACCATAATGTAGTTTTTTTGTGCTTTTTCTGTAAATACTTTCATGGTAATTGTTCTGATGAATTTTCCTCCATGGTATCTAGACTCTATAAATTTAAGTGCAGTAAGAGATTGGCAGAAAGATTTGATCATTTTTACAGTTGAAATGGTTAGATGTAGCTGTAAGTTCTATGTTAACAGTTTCTTTTCTCACACTTCTCACTTGTGGAACTCTCATCTGGCTTCTTGCTTTCCATTCAAGTTTGATCTTCAAAAATTTAAATTTAATGTCAAATTTTTGTAGAAGATATTTATGTTATTTTATCCTCAAAAATAACAACACACTAGAAAAGTCAAAATTGCAATGAACAAACATTATCTATGAGTTCAAATGCCCCTTAAGGAATTGTGTTTTTGATCAAACCAAATCCATAAATAATTACATCGGTCACACAACTACATGCTTATCCAGACACTTTACGTTACACCTATCTGACCACAGCTCTATTAGAACCCATTCAAACACACAAACAAACTTACCAGACTCCATCCAAAACATATTTGTATAAAATACAGACATCATAACCTCATCGACATGTAAAAAAGATTAAAAATAATGGGGGCCTTAATAATAAAAAAAGAAGAAGCCAACACATTTAATAATATTAACTACGAACACAGCCACAATGTGCTAACAGTATTTGGAAAATACTGTTAGCACATCTCTATGCCACTAAAAACATACATACAATGCACACACCCAGTTATATTGAAAAAAATAAAATCATCCTTGATAATGCCTAATAGTATAGCTGAAAGCATTCAGAATTATAGAACATTTGGAGAGTTTCTACACACTCTGTGTCCAAAAAAGAAAAAACTTGTTTGAACACAAGAAAAATTAAAAAGCCTATTTGTAGTACCTTGTCTGTCATTTTTAATGAAACATGCATATATATATATATATATATATATATATATATAATTTATCACTTTACATGAGATTCCATTTTTTCCTTCAAAGATTCAAGTACTCATTAACAATTTTCTTCAGGAAAACTGATTACATGTATGATGTTCACATTTGATATAACTTCATTTCTCCTCCAAACAAATAACAGTGCTTTATAAAAACAATGAAAATACAATAACATTAATCATTTTAACTCTAACAATAAGATGTAAGGATTTGTGAAATGAAAGTATCTCCAATTGAGCAAATCTCAAAGTTAAAGATAATTTATGACAAAGTTCAAATTTAAAATATGAACAATATCCATTTGTAATGAATTATAAACACTGAAATCATTTTTTTATAATGTTAATAATTTGCTAAATTAATCCTTATTGGATTATGTTAAATTCAAATGTCAAAGTTTAGGCAGTTTTATCATTATTATTCATTAGCAAGGTTATCACTTTTTATTTTGATAAAAAAAAAAGAAGTTGATATGATCATCATTTCAAAAATATTTCTTTTGAAATCTCGTTTGATTTTATTTAATCCAATCCATGTTTAATAATTAGTGGAAGAAGTCACTATTACTTGTATTTGCATATGCATTTTATCTTGTCTGTAATGTAACCTGTTAGTTTCAGTGCTTCAGAATTAAGCTTAAGTTTACAAAGAAAAACCAAAACTTAACTCAATTACTAGTGTAGGGCATACAAGAGGTTAACCAAATAATTACTGGTGATAATGAAAGAAGCTAAGTTGATCAGAGACCAGACAACAACATTTATCTTTAGGTAGAAAAAAAAAGCTGTTTTGTTGTTGTATCAACTGCATTGTCTTCAAAGGAGTTAAGTAATTTCACTTGTCTATTTAAACCTTGTACATATATGATTTTATAGAAATTAAATCTTTCTCTTGTCTTCTCTCAGTTCTTTGAGTAAAATATCTTTTGTTATCAGTTACATTCCTTAAAAATTATACATCTTGTAATATTCTTTCTGCTGATGTGTAGAATCAGTGAAAAATAATAGGTTGGTTTTAAATTGTGGCTCTGGTATGTTTGTATATGAAAAAGAAAAATTAAAATATCCTCTTACTTGGATTTAAAACTATGTTTTTATGATTTTTATTTTTTACTCTGGGTTACATTTTAAGTCCCGTTATTTTTGCTTTATAACTTGCAGATGTTACCATTCATACACACAGCCCATATTGATTCTTTGTGTTTCACACGATATAAACGATATAAACGGTTGAATCATTTGTTCCTTATTGCCAACCAAGGTCATGCACACTGGCTTGCTGCTGAGATGTGACTCAGCCAAGACTAAACTCATTGATAACAATGATGTTCCAAGTGGAATCATTAGGCATTTCAATGATCACTGTTAATTTCATCATTGTAATAAGAATAAAAAAGATGAATGTACACTGCTTACTTAGTAAACATGATGAAGTTTAAGGAGAACAAAACTTGTTGAAGTTGCTCCCAGAAGGACAGTGACATTAATATTACATATAGTATTTTTAATATGAAATATTGTTGGGGATATAATATCAGCAATAATGTCTGACTCAGTGTACTATAGAAATTTAGACTGATTTATTGTTAAATATAATTTGTTTCAATCTATATTTTGTTGATAGTTTAATGAGTGAACATTAAAATTATTGTTTTTGAATAGTATTTCATATTTTAAAATATTTTTTGTGTTGATTAAAACAAATTTTCTCGTTATTTTTCTTGTAATTTTGAATCATGCAAAGTTCATATTAAATAAATAAAATGAAGTCTACCTTGATATTGCTTGTCCATATTTTATAATATGATCAATATTGTTGAATTAAATTAATGCCATAGGCTAGTCGAGTATATTTAGTTTAACTATCAGATATAGAATCTCACTATTTGGTGATTTTTGAAAATAAAGCCCCTTGTCATTAAAGATCCATCCTATGGACAGTACCTTCCTATTGCATATATGTTGTGATCTGCATAATTATTACCTAGTGGACAGTTCACAATAAAAATTACCCTGTTTGCTGTATTTCCATGACAATAGATATTGACTTAGCATTTCATATGTCAGAATTGATTAATATATAATACAATCATTTTAAATAACAGATATGAATTAGTTGTCCAATATTTTTCCTTGTGAATTATCAATATTTAAGTATATAGAAAGAGATGGGCCATGAGTTTATTTATATCCATTTTTCTGTTTCCTATCTTTCTTCACTTTTATCCTCTATTTTGTTTAACTAACTTAACTTAGTTCACTATAAAAAATATGCACATGCATCAATTTTTTTTAAATACCAGGATTATAATTATAATCCTGGTATTTAAAAAAATTGGTGCATGTGCATATTAATACAATAATGCATAGTAATACAAGACTGCACAATTGTGCAGTCTTGTATTACTGTTAAAAATGAGTTGACATATCAAGAAATCAAAGTTGGCATGATATTAAGCTGTTGTTGTTATGTAGTATATTATTATGGACTGTGTTATTGTGGGCTAAAGTAGTGTAAAAATTATTTACCCCACTTGATCTGTATTACTGTTCATTTTTTTATATGCTTCAGTCTTATTGAGCCTGAATTGTGCAAATTAAAATAAATTACTGAACGCATTTAAGTAATGTAAACCTTTATAGTATTTTATAAAATATGTAAATGAATATTAAGTTCTATGAGAGTAATATAGTGTATTGAGTCCTGAAAGGAACCTGAAAATATTTACAGAGAATAATTATGATGTTAATGTTAGATAATAATTATTTCTTGAGGAAGTAACCTGGATTGTTTTCTGGGGTTATTATAGTGCATATGGCAGAAGCAACACTCATATGACATTGAGCAAATAGACTATGTAGTCTATAGTTTATGTTCCTAATTTGTTTTGTGGACCTAATAGAATTATCACTCTTTGTGTATACAGTTCTCTTGCCAGCAGTAATATCATAAACATGTTTTGGTAATATCTATGCCATTATAACTGCAAAATATTTATAAATAATGTGTGGCAATAGCTCCATGCAAAAACAAAAACAAATGACTGACAAAATCTTTTATCCAGAAAACATTATAAATCATTTTGTAATTTTTTTAATGAGTAACTATGATTTTAATTTTGTTTTTTTTACTCTGTAAATTTGCATTGTATGCTAAAAACTTTATTAGTTATGTTTTTGCCTACTATTTTTTCTTGGATTTGAGAGCTATATAACTTAAGAACAGTTTGATAAATTTTGACAAAAAAATTCAATTGGTAACTAGTAGTAATTAGATTGCTTTTATTTTAACAAAGTTAAAGGTAAATTTGATAATTTTAATTATAATGAAGATGTAGTTTGCATCTCCATTGAACAATCAGCCTAATGACTCACATAAACTTTGTGATCTGAATTCTGATGAATAGAGTGTCTAACAATATTAGACCAAAACAGGACAAGAACAGTGTGGTTTAATTAAAGC